CATAAAGAATTGTTCCGTGCGGGAATCGAAACCGCGACACGTTGCGCGGCAGCCAGTTGCCCAGCCACCGCGCCAACCGTGCAGTCGACTAAGTGGCGGTTGCGCTCCTCAGGATTTTTTACTATTCAAGCATATTAACAGTTTACCTTACACACTCCTAAGGGGTCTTGGCCACATATCCATGCAAGCCTTAGAATAAAATCCTGCTGGGAAAAGACAGCGTGGCCGGCCACGTCAAACTAGAAGGCAGAAGCGGTCGGTATATGAATGACGTGGATCGAGGTGAAGCGGAAAGTATACAACCGGTCGCGATGGAGGGTTTCTATGGACGCCCTCTAAACCAACTAGTGGACATAAGATACGCACACATAATAACATCACGCCTTTTATCCCCGAAGAGGTGTACATTATACCACTGTATAATTAATACCCACTTTTTACTATTCATGTTATGTATGAGTCCAATGTAATAGGGGATGAGCCTATTGCCATATACCGAGCACAATTCCAGACTCCGTGCTACTACTGAGATTTTTTTTAAAAAAACCCTGTAATACTTTGCCCGACCCGGGAATGGAACCCGAGATCCCTTGCCCGGCAGTCGCACTTGCGACCACTCAGCCAACGAGGCAGTCATAAGACATTAAGGCAGGGACATAAAACATTAAGTATTAGGTATCTTACATTAATCAATATAACAAGCTGCCCTCTGTAGGTAGATACTGGTAGAATTTACTTTATCGAAATAAGTTAAACTTCATCATAATTTTAATGAATAGATATCATAGATTTTTTGTTTTGAGTTATAAGTGGCTATAAGTGTAGTCGTCTGTAACAAAACTATCTACAACTATTTACAGAAAGCATTACTTGTCATTCGAGTATCTACTAAATAACTAAACGCGTACCTAATACCTCGAACATTAGGTACGTTAATGTTCTACAAAATTCCTGTAACCTAATTCCTCAATTCTCTCAGTTGATAGGTAGGTAGGTAATAAACGGACCTTTAGGTCCAAGGTTAAACTGCCAACCGAGACTTCGCGTTGGGTTGTCCGTCAGGATCGAATTCCTGATTAGCTGAGGTCACCTATACAGGTAGGCTTTATTATAGGTATCTAGATTTTATAGACCTAAATATTTGGTTCTTAAAATGTAGGTATATCTAGGGATTCTGGATGGGTTAGTTTCAAATTACTGGCCTGTCTACAGGGGCTTACAGTTACTTACTATGGTTAAATCGAACTTAAATTTAAAAAAATATTCCTCCATAAATCACCAATATTAATTTTAAAATTAAAGTTCACAAGCTAGTTCTAACTTATTATTACCTAAGTAGATATTAAAAAACCTAAACGAAAAAAAATCTAAAGTAGGTACATTTAGCGCTCAATTGGGTCAATAGGTTCCTATTCTCGGGGTCGTCTCTCTCTATTCCGTCGGGGTCACCACTTTAGGTTCTCGTTGGGTCACTCACTTATAGGAGATAAATAAAACAGATGTTACGGAACTGAACTGAATATGTATTGCCTCTATGGTGTACAGGCGACGAGTGTGTCATGCGCACAATGCGATTACATGTTTATACCTTAAGCTATAACAGTGTGTGTTCTATGCGATACCAAACCCCTACAAGTACTCCTTTACAGTAGATACCTAACTAATGATGAGCATCGCATAGCATAATTCACCATCTACCTAACCCAAGATTTTTTTATGGCATAAGCCGGTAAACTAGCTGAGGGATCACCCGATGGTAAGCAATCGGCGTCGCCCATGGACACCTGGAACACCAGATGCGTTAGTGTGGTACCGGCCTTTTGGAGATTAGAAGTTTGAGAATCGTTGGGGATTCAGGGATTGAGGAAGGGGGTAATTGGCTCACACGACGAAACACTATCACTCTGGTCGAGCCGGCCCATCCGTGCCGAAGCATGGCTCTCCCACACTCTAAAGAAAATCCAATAATACTTAATAAAGAATAACAATAGCTATGTGGGAGGCAAATCCAGGACCCACGCTCGACAATTAATTTGATTGCCTCTATCAGTTTAAAGCAGCAGTAACATTTATGCAAGTATCAGCTAAGTAAGGTAATAATCATACTTAAGTTAATTGTTTTGGTTAAGCCTTTTCAGATCGCGTAGGTTGAATGATAGGTACCTATACTTATTCAAATAGGTTCGTAACACTAAGATTTTCCGACGATGTAAATTAGGTACATAGCTATCCTGCAACTTACTCAAATTACTTAACAACAAAATATAACTAATTAAAATCTAAAATATTTACACCTTAAAGTTTTTAAATTTTTTTTTTTTGTTGCCTTAAGATATTTTTTTTATTATTATCATATACATATTTTAAGTTGTATATACTTAACAACAATATTTATTTATTCATTTAAACTGTCAAACACCGAGCGGTCACCGGTGACCGCAACCTATTGTTCTTTAATTGTGTCTATAAATATGGTACTCGACGATTTAATATAATAGTGTACCTAAATTATGCCTTTTATGCAATCGTTAAACCATATACCTACCTACCTAGTTTTTTTTGAGGGGAATAATCATCCAACGACTTTCTCTCGCCTTGGGTGAGGCGAAACTGCGAGAGTGTTAGACGTTCACTGTCTAAAACCACTCCGTTCTTACTCCTGCTTTGATCCGGAGCCCCGGTAAAGCCCTATTGGGCCCCATCTGTGATAGTTTGACGGCTTTTTGAGGCACGCGCGGAACTCGACGCGACACATACTTATACCTTAGTAGTAAACAGATACTAGATAGAATACCTACATTTCTTATTCTTTGAAAATGTTCACCTTTTCATAACCAGCCAAGCAGAGGTGCACATTACGGCACTTAGTACCTTAGTACCACTGAACAATGTAAGACCCACTTTTCACGCTTTTCACTATTTATGTTATGAGTCCTAGGGCGTAAGGCCGTCGCGTAGTAGGCGTCCATAGGGAGTGAGCCTATTGCCATATACCGAACACAATTCTAGATTCCGTGCTACTACTGAGATTTAAAAAACTCAGTAATAATTTGTGCGACCCGGGAATCGAACCCGAGACCCTAAGGGGTCCGGGCCGGGTAAGCCCGGTCGCAGTCCGGGCCAGGTAAGAAGTCGCACTAACGACCACTCGACCAACGAGCAGCTATAAGAGATATACATAGATAATTATGTGTTTAAATAATCTTTTTACGCCTTTTTTGTTGATGGGGGGAAATCTTCGAATAGCGCCTAGCTTTTTGGGGGAAAAGAGCTTATATACCTATTTATTATAAGTAAGCATTGACATTTAAAGAAACTATATTTAAACAAATAACTGGCGTAATATTTATGAGTCATTGTAATATCTATATGCAAAATCTAGATACAATGACTACAATCCTTCATGTATGAGGTTAGGTATCTACTATATATCGTGCATAATATTGTTGTATTTTGTTTATAGAACTTTGCAATGTAGTAACGATAGCGATAAGCTTTCTAGCTACGGTTATTCACCTCATGTGAACGTGTTTACGAAGTTTATTACGTAGATATACTTGCATACTGTGTATGCATAGCTTCTTCATACGTTTTCTACTGCAAATGTTACCTACTGCAATTGTTCCAGTTCGCCACGTTTAGTTTATTATTTTTTATTATTTTATGCCGACAAACTTGTTAACGAGATCTTAATATTTTTTTTATATTTATTGGCATTTTACATGCAGAGTTCCCTTGCAAAATAGACAAAGCAAAGGAACAAAACTCAAAAATAAGCTTTGGTATTTTTAAACTGATAACACTGTTGGTTGGCAATCAGTTTTAGAATTAGGTCAAAACTAAAGTTTGTTTTTCTTTATTGGCATTATACATGGGTACTACATAACTTCTTGATGTAGATGGAGTAAAAATATAACAGTTGATTAAGTTTCCATTTGTTTTACTTCCCAACAACATAACGAACTTTTTTGAAAGAATAACTTTTAAACTAAATTACCTAAAGTAATAAACAATTCGTGGATTTAAAATATATACAGGTGTAATGAAATAAGAATAGGAAACTATTTTAGAAATCATGAGCGCAGTAAGTATACTGTATATCGTATGCACGTTGTAACACTCATTATCATAGCCAACGCGTAAACACGACGCAATTAACGCAACCCACTTTTGTAAGAGCGTCTGCAGAATAACCGTCTCGTAGTCTCGCATGTAGCTGTAGTGTATGTATGTACAATCCACAATCAAATAACTCCCCAAGAAATGTTTGTACAGAGCCTAACCGCTTATCAACGCACTTCCTTATCAATACCACAATTCCCAATGAATTATATCAATTATTATTTTAACCTTTTACGTGTACTAACAAGTTTGTACCTTTATGTAACGTTACATAAATAAAACACAACATGTTATCAATACAATTATTCCAAGATTGGCATAGATTGTTCTTTATTGTCCACTCGTTTTTGGATACAGCTACTTTACTTACAAATTATAATGTATACTGTAATAATAATTTTATGTGAAATCTATGATTTTTGAGAATTACAAGATGTGCCATTTGTATACCGGCCTATATAAAAACAAACAAAAACATTGCTGTACTTTACGGGTACGCAGTTGGGTGAAATAAAAACACCAGAATAGATTAATGTGCGGTTATAATATTATAAAATACTTTCAGCCTATCGAAACATAATCCTATGGGTTCTAATCGATATTTACATAGAAATATGAAAGGCGGGAGGACATTACAAATCTAAAAATGAGTGCCGACAATATCCCGTGCCTGCCGGCACTCCGTTTACACCGGTTACTTATTATGCATGTTATCGTGAAAACAGTCAGTAAAGGTTCGCGTGCTCAGGTTAAGATTCATGCCAACCAGGTCCCGAGCTGGTGCATGAAGGTTTGTATACTCTTTAGAGTTCACAGACAGTCCTAACCTCGAATTTAGTGATTAATATCACATTTATAAGTTCCGGTCACTTCTAAACTTAAACAAAGGCACCGCTCTGCGGTGACTTATCATCATGAGGTCGCGGCTCAGGAAAACCGCGAGCAGATAGTGGATCCGGCGCCGGGGAAGCGTGCGGCGCTGGCGAGGCCGCGGGCGATGCGGCAGGCGACGCGGTGTTCAGCGGGGATGGCAGCGTCGCATACACCGTGGGCCGCGGGGGCTGATACGATGGCGCGTATGAATCGCTACGAGGGTTGTAAAATGGCGAATCATCCGCGGAGCAATCCAGATTAGGAGAGTACGGCGTCGCTGCACCGCAGGAAGGGGCGTCATCACTAGGCCGGTAAGCGGGCGCCACGGGCGCGTACACCGTGCGGCGCGGGGGCTCGGCCTCGGGCCGATGGTGCGACGACGGAGCGTACGCGTCCGACCAGCGCGCCTTACTCGGCGTGAAGTCGCCCTTTATATACAGTTGTATTGGCCGCCGGAAACCTTTGCTCGCATGCTGAGGCACACCTAGTATGCAGCACTTACTGAATCCCACTTCAGGTGACAGCAAGTAATCTCGAAATTTGTTCGGGAATAACTCAATGGAGTTAAAGTTTTCATATATTGTAGGCTGAAACCAAATAAAAATAGCAGTTAGTCACCTATTAAAAAATTAAACATTTTTAAAAGAAATTTTCTATAGAGAAGTAGAAAGTAGAAACATACCGTTAGACGCTTTTTTTTCTTATAACTAGCCCAATTTTGTGCTTCTAGCACCAGTTTCCCGCCAGGACGTAGATCGGCAAACATTTTTCGGAAGGCACGTTTGAGGCCCGCGTCGCCCCAATTTAAATGCATCCACTTGGTGGTAGACAGCACAAGATCAGATCAAACTGAGGACTGTCAGGACCGCTTCCGACCGCAACTTCCTCGCGAGGAACATAATTTCCCTGAAACATAATAACACGAGTTTTAATACTCATACATTTAATAATAGAGGTGACGCGCAGCATCATGCATCATACATGCGAAAGACCGACATGTCGTGACATGTCATGTTGCGCAACAAGACAAAACGTAGAACGTAGTGAAATAATAATAGTGAGAAGTACAACCATTACCTAAGTAGGTAATATTTCAACATTAAACTAATAATGAGACGACAGTTTATTTCGTCATAGGATGAAATATCTAATGACACGTACCTGCTTAAACGTGACATTGTAGGGGAAAACAGGTGGTGTGACTTCTGCGCTCGAGTCTCCGAGTGGTCCATACAACATGGTCATTGACATGGGGAAGAAGCATTGGCCTTGTTCTTGTTTCTGAACAGCCTTCCTATTCTTCCGAGGTTTTCGCATCTTTCTCGCAGAGACCTTCTTCAAGTCGTCGTGTTTGTCGAGTTTCTGATCAATGCTGCAGTCTTCACACTTCTCTTCCTTACTCTTATCACAATCTCCTTTTTTATCATCATCCAAGTCCATTTTCTTGTCGTCATCCCTCTTTGGTTCAGTTGGAACTGGAATAAAGGACCTCAGATTCTTTCTTGCTCTCCCTGAAACAGGATAACACACTTATTAATTTATGATATGACTAGTGACTCTCCCTCCCAAGGTTATTAATTTAGGGAACTAAATGTAAAAGTAAAATAAATGTGTCTCCCCCCACCATAATATTTAGTACCTATCTAAGTTTAATGAAACCAATGTTATATTTCTATTACCCTCATTGTTTTGCAATAGTCATACAAAAAAAACCCAACAAGACTTATTAAAAATGCTTTTTACGATTCTGACTACCACTTGTACCACTGACAGTTCTATTATAGTGCCACTTATGATCTACATTAAGATGACAATAATTCCATGAAATTTTCTAAATCACATAGTATTTGAAGTAATTGGATGGCAGCCAAAAGTGAATACCACCTAATCAGGTTAAATCAGTAACCTATATTTTTGTGTGTATGCAATTTTGTATATGTCTGTGGTGATTACATACCTATGAGCACTGGATCAATGTCCATCCCCACAACTGACCGGGCACCCAGTGTCCGTGCCACTGCTACGGAAATATGGCCTACATTACATCCAATGTCCAACACATCTTTGTTCTGGAAGAGATGTCTGTGCATCTCAAATACTTGCAGCCGAATATCCATCATAGCATTCAAGTTCCGATAACCATAATACCTGTAATAAACAATAAACCATACATTAATTTATTAAAATCTGACACAACGACCATAAGATAAATTATTGTGCTTAAGACATTTACTTGCTCTCCTTGGAAAATAACGTTTTGGAATTGTTAAGACATATTTATTCATACTCCACTCAATAATAATGAATGACAAAAGATTTATTTAGAGGTCAAGCTGTTGTCATGCAAATACTTCCAGCTGGCAAAATAACTGACAAATAAGAGAACTGTTCAAAATGCTCCTTTTTAATTGTAACTACCCTCTCCCCATACTGGGAAATACATAAAAGAAACTGGTTACTAACCTGTCATAATTTCCATACTGATATCTTGAATTTTTGGGGTGAAATGTTGGAAGCTTCTGGTCTTCATCAGAGATACTCTTTAGTTTAGTGCGGTGTGGTGACGCAGGGCGCTCTGGTGGTGCAGTGCGCTGTTGGGGCCGCGCCCGCATCCATGCTCCTGGCTGAGGCACTACTGGGCTTACTATCTTATCTAATGAATCCATCCTACGCAACTTCTTAGGATCTTTGACTTTCTGAGAGTTGTTATCACTGTCACTACAAGATCTTTTGCGTGACTTACATGCAGATGTGGATGGCTCGGTGGTGGTGGCTCTTTGATACCTTCTACTACCACTTCAGGAGGCTCCTCAGTAACTGGAGATGTGTTGTCTGTTGTGCGTCTCCTTAGCCGTGCCTTCTTGCGTGGCTTGCGTTGCTGCATCTCCAGTCTCTTCTCATACTCTTCATTATCTAACGGCTCCATCAAATTTAATGGATCCCTTATGTTTGGAGGAATTATGACATCGATCTTAGCCTTATGCCGAGGTGGTGTAGGTAGAGGTGAAGATTCTGGAGTGACTGCATTCATAGCTCTATTGATATCCTCATCCTGTAAACTATTCAGGTTAAGGGGATCTGATATATTTCCACCTAGCAAAAATTTTGTAGGTGGTATAAAAACTTCCTTGCGTGGTCTCTTATGTGGTAGGAAAAACTTTGAGATTGATGGAAAGCTCTGAGCCCTCTTCCTTCCTTGTTTGAACTTCGTACCAATGTAATTCACGCGCCGTATGGTACTTCTATCTGGGTTGTCCTTGGCAGGTGTATGACCTTTCTTGCCATGGCGAAATTTCTTTTTCGTCTTTTTTGAAGTACCCACACCCGAGGCATCACCTTCTTTGGAAGTGTTGGCATCGCACGAGTTGAGAGCACTGGTCTCGTTAACATTTGATGATGTTTCGGTAACATCACCTATTTCTGTCTCCGATATCTCACCAGCTGTTTCATTATCAGCATTGTCAACCACGTTGCTTTCACAAGCAATCACATTTTCTTCCGGACTACCCATTACGTATGTGTACCGTAACAATAACTACATGATAAAACAATAAATCATTTAAAAAGTCAAATTTACCGCCACTTCACTTCTTGCAAAATCTACAAGGACATCCGTCAATGGTGATAAACAGTTTAACAATGCGGTTTGTTTTTATTATTACTTGCCACTGGGACGTATACTTGAACGATATAAGAAAGCTATGAAACGATTAAAAGAAAATATTTCACTTTACACTTAAACACACAATGATAACTATCCACTTTTCAAAATTATACACAGCACTTCGCACAATACTTTGATAGGATAGCAATGGCAATTTGATTTCATTTGTTTTAGTTTTCACATAAAATTATGACTCCGATAGGACGTTAACCTAAATATGTTATTGGTTGAAACACATACGAATTATATAAGTGACCAATCAGAAATAGGGTCAGAGCCCGACACTTTTCCGCTTTTAATAGGAAATAGAGAACACAAGAACAAACTAGAGTTGCCAGCCAAAAATAATTTAATCACTACTGACATTCTCGCTGTACTTACTAACAAAATTTGATAATACTAAAATTCCTAAATCACTTTAAAAAATATCTTCAGAATATAGCTTTCATGTAAATAATGGTGTAAAGTTATAGCTATTTTTGGTTACTTCTATTAATATTACAGTTTTAATACAATTTTTACCCATATTTTCATGGTATTATTGGTACTTAGGCTTAGGCATCACCGCGCCAGGTTTGAATAAAATAAATAATTTTACAATTTTACAATATGTCACATGTGTGTCAATAAATCATTATGTTTCCTTATATAATCCAAACTTCTTACGATTTCTGATCTCAAAAGGCTAGAGTCAAAATTAATTTTTAAGTCTTGCAACATTGACCCGACTAGCGTCATGATTAGAATTTGAATTTTGAATCGAAAATATCCGTTGTCGTTCGTGTTGACAAATGATTGCTTAAAATCGACGGAAGACGAATAATTAAAGAAAATTGTAAGTAATTAATGTAGTGATGGTTAGCTAAACTATTTTCGATAATGCCTTCGTTGTATGGTGTGTGAAACAGTTAATTTCGTGTGTATACTATAAATAATCTGTTTTATGCATCAGAATGATTATGTTCAGTGCATAGTGAGTGACCAGTATTTTTTGTAATGTGCGTTTTAATTTGTGTTTCAGAATCGTCTATATTTTGTGTGCTACGAGTAAATTGGCATTTACACTGTGATGAATAAGGTAATAACATGTACAGTCCCATGATTATTCCTTTAGACTCAATGTTTGTAGGGTTCTGAGAAAGCGCGGGCCACAGCTAAATGCCGTATGCGTACACAATTTAACTGATTTCTAAAAATATTGACATGGTTCTAGCGACACGTATTTAAAATTCCTTTTTCTATTAGAAGGTAGATAGCTGGGCTAATATTTGTCACGTTTAGATTTTATTTATTTTTTTATGATGACTCCTGCAGTGCCTAAGACAATGGCCATAGTTTGATGCGGATATGTTCAAATCCATTTAGAGGTACCTAAAAAAAACAAAAAAAAATTCGTGTATCCCCAAGAATATTATGTTAGTAAACATTTTGTTGTCAAAATATCATTTTAAACAAAACATATGTTTGTTAATAACTACCCATGTATGTATTATGATTATAACATCTATAAAGAAAGAATATTATATGACACACATATTCTTTGATTTCAGATGTCTCGAATACCCAAAATGCCACCGGTGACAGCCACCAAAGAAAACAAGCCGGGCTTGCCAAATCGTCGTCCATTATCTAGAACCCTGGTCAGCACCCTGAGTGATGCTGACAAAAAGGATCTATTAATTAATCATACAAAACCTGCGCGCACTGGCCCTTCAACTGTGGTACCAGCTCAACGTCTCAAGAGATCAGCTACTGCTCCCTCCGCTGTAGCTGTTCCTCCACCAAAAGTAAATAAGATAGAAAAGAAAGTAACTGTAGCTCCTAAAATAGCACCATATGACTACAAAGCAAGATTTAATGATTTGCTGGGAAAACACAAGAACATGAAGAGTGAGTTTGATGACTTGAAAGAAAAACACATTGAAGTTACTGACAGTTATGAGAAGACTAAGGATTCTGTACAAAGCTTTGTGACTGAGAGGGATAGATTGAAAGAAAATCTGTTGAAATCCCTTACAGAATTAAGAGAAAAATCTGCAGAATATGACAAAATGAAAGTAGATTACGATATACAGAAAATGGAAAATGAAAACTTGCAGCGCAAAACTGTGTTATTGGATGAAATCACTACTAGTCTGAAACAGAAGACTGCGGAACTCGATAAGGTTCAATCTGAATTTGACTCATTATCTCGACAACATAAAAGTCTGCAAGAGGAGACAGAAGCACTGCGAGTCTTGACAGATAGTCTTAAGAAGATATCTATACAATTTGACAAATTGCAACTTGACTATAAAGAAGCTCAAGAGACTATTGCTAAATATAAGTCAGAATCTGAAATATTGCACAATATTTTAGCTGCCATGCATAAAGAGCAGAGAGACTTAAGAAATACTATTCAAGATCTGAAAGGTAATATTAGAGTTTACTGTAGAATTAGACCTCCACTGGAATCAGAACAATCAAAACCAAGATATAATCTCAATGTGCTTGATGCCTGCTCTATAGAAGTAGAAAAAGTTGAACTAATGAATTCTGTCAGAAAAGGAAAGCCACAACATGGTTTCACATTTGATGGTATTTTTACACCACATGCAACTCAAGAAGATGTGTTTGCTGAAGTTTCTACAATGGTCCAGTCTGCATTAGATGGATACAATGTATGTATTTTTGCATATGGGCAAACAGGATCTGGTAAAACATACACTATGGAAGGCGGCTGTGGAACTGAACAGTATGGAATCATACCAAGAGCTTTCAACATGATTTTTACATGTATGGAAGATATGAAACGGATGGGTTGGGAGATAACCATAAAAGCATCTTTCTTGGAAATATATAATGAAATAATCTATGATCTGCTGAACTCCAGCAAGGATCAAGTAACACATGAGATAAAAATGTGTGATTCTAAGGGAACTGACGTGTATGTATCGAATTTGAAGGAAGAGGAAGTTAAGAATTCACACGATTTTATCAGGCTGATGATATTTGCCCAACGTAACAGACAAACAGCTGCGACTCTAAATAACGAGCGCAGTTCTCGATCTCACTCAGTCGCCCAAATTAAGATATCAGCGATACATGAAAAGCGTAAAGAGAAATATACAAGTAACTTAAATTTGGTGGATCTGGCTGGTTCAGAAAGTGGGAAAACCACACAGCGCATGGAGGAGACAAAACACATCAACAGGTCTTTATCAGAGCTGTCGAAAGTTATCTTATCACTGCAGACCAATCAGTCTCATATACCTTACAGAAATTCTAAGCTGACCCACTTACTGATGCCCAGTCTGGGAGGCAATTCGAAAACACTTATGTTGGTAAATATCAATCAATTTGATGAATGCTTCAGTGAGACGCTTAATTCCTTACGCTTTGCCACACAAGTTAATAACTGTAGAGTTGTTAAAGCCAAGAAGAATATAACCATGTTTGACTCATAATACCCACCTCATATAAATGTTATTTTTTAAATTGACATGATCAGTTATTATTAATTTTATCTAGTTATCTAATAAAATAGAAAAAGTTGTTTAAAACTTTAGGAAAGAGTAGTCATAGTGATTATGATGATTTAAACTTTAGATATGACTACAGTTTTAGACTTAAATATTTTTCTTTTTCTCCTATTGTTAGCTTTTATGTTTTAGAGGTGTTTGTACACCGTTTTAATCAGTAATTTGACTAAAATAGTGTCTGTTTTATTTAATTTTCAATAGTTTTATGTCAAACAATAATGTTATAATTATGTATTTAGTTTTCATGTGTAATTGTATTGTTTATTGAATATAATATACCTAAATTAGTGAATTACTTTGTTTTATTTGAGTCGTCATAGTAATATCTACGTTGTACCAACCCAATACCTACCATACTCCTTGAATGTTGATCTGTAGGTACAGCAGCAGGTTCAGCTTGAGATTTACTTGTCACGCCAGGCGAAAACGTTTTCACCTAAAATAACGTTACATTTATCTCCCAAACTCCAATGTCACGCCTAGCGCCTGTATCAAAAAAGGCCGTAATTATTCTTGTGTGAGGAATTGTTATATAAAGTATGCCGTTAGATGGCAGTAGCAGTTCTCAAAAATGAAGAAACCTGCGTATTTTTCTCATGTTTTATCAAATTGGAGACGAGTCCCACAATTTTGCACTCCGCGCACAGTAGGTACTGAAATAGTTTGAAAAAATGAAAAATGTTAGGTCCACTCGGGATTCGAACCCAAGCCCAAGATCCCTACACTAACAGCCACTCACATTCTCTTGTTTTCGTGTATTTTGTATCGGATCCTTTTATTATCAAAAAACTAGACTTCGAGCCAAAAAAACCTATTTATCGGCACATCTATAGGTAATGACATATTTTCTCTTTGATAGACAGGGTTGGAATGACTTTGGGTGAAGTAGGCCCACTTATGAAACTTCCAAACCCAACGATTTTCTAATTGACAATTAGCTTCTTAGCTTAGGTTTGCACCACAAGACCCCCAAATTAACTTGCGAGAAATTTATGTTCAGCAGTGGACGTCCAAAAAATAACCAAAATTTCGAACCTTATCGGTAAGTCATCACAGACTAATGACTATCTCTGTGATGGACATGCTTGGAATGACCTTAGGTGAATTGGGCCCACTCATGAAACTTCTCAACTTAAGCTAGGGGGACGATTCAATAATATATAATTCGAGGTTTAGAGTTAGACTACTGGCCCAAATTACAATTGGTTATATGGAGGCCTGGGTTTAGCTGTAAACGTCTCTTGGCTGACAAGATCATTTTTTAAAGAAATACTTACTAAACTTGTTATAGATTCAAGAAGCCTCTTCCTGAAAATCCTGTCCTTTCTATAAATAAGGCAGGTCATCGACGTCTTACCCTAAAGACGTCAGTGGTGAGGTTTTAAACAAATTACCGAATGTATACCGAATAAAATGGCATTTACCGGATAGTCTGGATACTTCTTGAGTAGTATCTCTTTAGTTAATATTGCAATAGGTGTTGGGTTGATATTTCTATAGCTGTATAGTGTAAACAAACAATGATGTCACCTACTGAACATTGTTTTCCTGCAACAATAAACGGTAAACAGATAATTTATCCGTTTATAGGCAGTCTCCAAATAAAATATTATTACATTAAAGTTCACTTTAAGTCCAAGAGATGGCGCTACTTGTCAGAAAGTTAACGCTTTTAATACTTTAACTACTTAGGTAACCCCTTATCCATCTATCCTGAATAAATGACTTCAATAAATACGTCAGTATATTACATACTTTTTACTTACGCTGGGATAATACATAAAGACCTACTTATATTTCTACTCATGATTTTGAAATTAACTAGCTGTTAGATATTATATTATGGGAATCGAACCCAAGTGCCCATGCCAGCAACAGGGTGCAAGGTATTTGAAATCCTTGCCAAAACAGAATTGAACTGTGTTTAATGTGTCTAGCATTATGTAATATATATCTAATTAAACTGTGGGTTTTAGGTAGATACCAAATCATTCCCTATCATTTTTCATCCGGACATTAGCCTTGAATAATCTATTGTAATGTAACACCTGCTGTGCCGTGATGCGTCTCTCTACATTCATATTTGAATATTTTATTTGAATGCCTAAATTTTTCATATATTGTACGTATCTGATCTAGGTAGCGCCACATAGGTAAGCTATATGAGGTAAGTTACAAAAAAGAAACAAGTTTTATAAAATAATCATGACGTGTTTATTTAAATAATTAAGGACTAGATCGAAACAAGCGATTAATCGCAATTCTCTTTCATATGCAAAATATACATAGTTTTTATGATACATCTCTCCGTGCGTCAAGTCGGGCGCTAGTGGAGCGGTACGGGGCGCAAGGCCAGGCGAACGGTGACAATGACCGAGGGGCGAGTCCAGGGTCTCTCGCCAGATTGTGTTCAACGTGATACATCCGGTTCCGTCGCTGCTTCGTCGCCCGGCGTCGGAAGTTTTGCCCTTTCTATAGTGTCTATGAGTCTATCCAAACCATAAAGAAAACCTTCTTCGTGATTTCCTTGTTGCCACTCTGCACGATGGTCTACCTGTAGACCTTCGGGTACACTTCTAGTTTTAGCAAAGTCGATCAGCCAGGCTCCAACACGTTCATCGTCATATATGATGAATATACTGCTGCCGACAATTTCATGAGTTTTGAAGAAATCAGAATTTTCAAAAAGATCTCTGATTTCACGAAGGCGAGTGATGATAGATCGACGCGCCTTTTCATTGTTACCCAGGAACCTTGCAACGGTGTTGGCAATTTGATGAGGTTCGCGAATTTTTTGCAGGTCAGTGAGGGGTGGCTCTCCTGGGACCTTCACAGCTTCAATTCTAAATCCTTGCTCGGCGGAAGAGGATCGCTGTTCACGGAACTGCATGTAACGTAGTTTGGTTACAGCGCGAGCCGCGTGCTCTGCTTCGGTGGGAGCTTTCGGGTCCAAACGCACCATCTTTTCGTACAGATCCGTACGAGCACGAGCGTTGCTTACTTCATCTTCAAGGAAAGTGCGGGTGCCCATCTTGACATCCATAACATGGGGGTCTCTGAAGCCGTGCAGTAAATCTTGCAGTTCAATGAAACGTTCACCACCATATTCCAGTTCACGGTAGTAGCGCGGGATAGCAGAGCGCATGTGGGGGCAGGCAGCGAGTGCTTCATATGCGTCCCGCTCAGGGTTGTGCGCGGGGTGGTCGCCAGCAGCGCGGCGCTTCCATACGGTGCCAGGGCCTGCGGGCGCCAGGGAGCCGGGGTGGCCAGCTAACTGGAACCACTCCGACGAGCGAGATTTCAGCAACGCATCAGATGCGGGTGCTGATAATTCCAAAGCATTCTGTAACAAAAGAGATCCAACGATTAATAACGAATTCCAACTTAATTATTTTTTTCAATTGAATTTTTTGGTATTAGGTATATTTCTCTAACATTATTAGGTATAATTATTTAGGGATTTTTTTTTCTATTTTTTCAAAAATTAAAAGTTTATGAAATACTTTGAGAATATAATTAAACATTGTAAAAAGTGATTACTTACAATAGCTAAGAATTTGAGTAGCTCCGAGGGTTGAGGGGTGGGTGTAGCGGGAGCCGGAGTAGAGGCGGGTGCTTCAACAGTAGACGGGGTGCGCCGCCAACGTTTGAACAGCGCACCTTCATCCTTGCTGCGCCAGCGTTCCTCCTCTTTACCAGGCACTGCGACCTGAGAACAACGAAAAACACTCGTTTAAACACCTGGTCACACACCATAGAACACTGTGGGGATATTCACTTTCACACAAATTTTCACTGAGCACATTTCGGTGACACGTACCGCTAATATCTTATTGGCAGCGTAGAGTAGCCCGCCAGGGCCGAGGCGACTCAGCACCGACTGGCGGGAGACACTGTTCATCTTGCTGGTGACGGTCATGGCGTACGAGTGTGTGCGTAGAAGGCGCAAACACGAGTGAACGATAGAACAATTGGAGCGCGGGTAGCGAGCGACGTGCGTGAGCTGTAGGCAGCTGCTAGCCAGCGTGTGATGTAAGTGGGAGGGACGCCGTCTGTTTTATAGAGACCTCGGCTTTCTCGTGACGTAGGCGCCGCGCACCGCCCGCTACCCGCGCGTACTCCGCGCTGCCCCTGAGTTTTCCTAGCGTCTCTGTTTTTCTCAAAACTGAAATGCATTGATTTATCAGACTGCGGGATAGATGCATGTCGTGATCGATCGTTACTCGCGCGTACATACTGAAAGTTTCAACTTGTATTCCGTACATAGTAACTAGCTAGGCAACGAATATTTTTTATAAGAACCTCTAGCTCTAGCGTACAATTGCGAATCTTCAAAACGTTGTAAATATTCGTGTCAAGGACGTGTGTTCATTATAAGTTTAAATTACTAACATACCTCATTGTAGTCGTTTGTTAATTTGTTTTGTTAATTCTTGATCATCGTGAATCGCAATAGTTATAGTGTGAAGAAAGGACTGTCGAATAGTGCAATACTTTTGTAATGTTCAAAACTACGTAACTATCCATAAACATTCTATAATTTTATTTTTAACTAGCTTCTGCCAGCGGCTTCGCCCGCGATCTCAGGGGTAAAATGCCTATGTATCACTTCAGACCATAATCTACCTCTGTTCCGAATTTCATTCCGGTCCCTTCAGTCGTTTTAATATGACTGAGTAACAAACATACACATAAACTCACATATTTTCATTTATAATATCGAGTCAAGCTAATTTCAACCATTGGCCTTTCAGTTACAGCGTAAAGTCTATGGATGAGTATTGTAAACGTTAGAGTAGACAAATACAATCAGAAATCACCGAATTGCTAAGCTATCGGGAGTTTCATGTGTTATTGTGAGTCAACCATAAAAGATAGACATATGCTGTCGAGGAATATTTTTTATATAATTTTAAGGAGAATATTTCCGTCATATATGATTTCTATGCAGCTTTAACCTATAAGCCTGCACACGCGACGGAAGCTTAAAAAATGGAGTAACTTCTCCCGTTTTCCCAATATTTCCCTTCACTGCTCTGCTCCTTTTGATCGTAGCGTAATGAAAAGTATACTATAACCTGCCCAAGAGTATGAAGAATAAATGTGCCAAATTTCGTTAAAATCCGTCGAGTAGTTTTTGTTTCCATAACGAACATACAGACAGACAGACAGACAGACAGACAAAAATTTTACTGATTGCATTTTTGGCATCAGTAGGGATCTCTAACCACCCCTTGATAGTTATTTTTTAAATATATTTGATGTACAGAATTGACCTCTCTACCGATTTATTATAAGTATAGACAATATAAATCCGTAACGTTGCTATTTAGAATTCCTGTTAGATTCGCATGGTACCTACCTATGCAATACTCCCACGAAGTCATGCAAAACAATATACGTGATCCACAATTGTACCTATATACGTAGTTACAATACAATGCAACGACATACAGTCTGTTTTATTTTATCTTAGTCAAATTATAACATCGAACATCTTATTACCCTGCAAGTGCAGCCAAGTGGGTTTATATATTTTATACATCGTGTTTTCGACAATTTTGATACTGGTCATACTGAATTAAGAGAAGGGCCAATTGCTATTGTCAATTTCTTTGTAGAAATTCACAATTTGCAATAGGGCGTTTCCCGACCCGAGGATCGGACTGGAAACCTCTCAGCGACTGTCATTTTATTTCAGTTGCTGAAATTCTTTATGTTCCTGCATAAGTCAAGTGTAGTGTAGATATAAGAATAGTTACTTATCTATTAATCAGAATATAATGAGTGCGTAGATACCTATAGTATATTTAGTATTCATCTCGCAAACAGATCTGCGGACCACAGATAAGTATAAAAAATTCTTGGCGCCACAAATCCTATTATGCCTAGATATCTTGACATAAATTATGTATGCCTCTGCTTCGTTTATACGTATAAACTATACTTATTTTAATTTTTTCCCTCGTCCAGCTCAGTTTTTTTTTATTTCAGTTTAGTTTTCTCACATCTCGAGAATATATTTTCTACGTGAGAAAAACAAATAGCTGTACTTAATGAAGTTATATACGTACTTACATAGGTTTTTAATGTTTGTTAATGGATATTTCAAAATGTTAGTTAGTGTTTGTATGCATATAAGTATCTAAATAAATATATTGTTGACTCTTATTATATTTTCTCATTTAATAAAAACCAATAATATAATATGTATGAAAAATATAAATCATGAGTTTCCAAACTCTTGTGTTAGGCCAAAAAACGTAAAATAAATTAAACTAAAAATGCCTATGAAATTATTCAAACATTTTTTATCGGCTTCCTATTGATACATAAACATTGCGTGAGAACTAAGTCTTGTGTGTCATAAAAGGCTAAGTTCTACGCACGAAAACCACGTAAAACTTAGATTAGTCATGAAAAGTAAGGCTGAAAGGATGACGTCATTATGATTGTCCTTAGGTTATGACGTAAGGGGAAGGAAGACGCGTAAGTGTATAGTGTCAGGCAAACAAAACAAATGACGGCAGTTATCCAGGCAAGCACGACCGCGGCCACGGCGCACGCGCACGACAACTCTAACTCTAAGACGTGACGTAGGACACCAACATTTCATGTCATGTAATTACCGTGCATTGTCCTAATGACTTTTAATTACTTTAAATTAAGCCGTTTTAGATGCTAAACAATCGTTATTTAAATTGATATACTCAGATGGGTAATTGATGAAACCTTCATTAAAACATTGTAATTATGACGCACTCCACTTGAAGGTGAGGTTTTGTTGCGACTCTTACGTACGTATCAGCTTAAATATCTAATTCTGTCACGGAAAGATGAACTTTAATTGTAATTAAAGTAGGTTTTATTTTTGTGTGACGTGGGACAATGGGTTTAATTCTCAATGGATGACAATGAAAGTTGAGAAAGTGTGGGAGAGTGCTAATGTGGCTAGGTGACGGACCTCGGTGCGTCAGTACGCAAGTACCGGCTCCGTGTTATGTAAACAAATATATTCAAATAATGGTGGGCGGAGCACTATTCAATTTCTGTTATAAGACCCCTGACCCTCAGTAATTTGACAGCAAAAAATGGTATTTTAATTCTTTGAGGAATTTAGCGTTCGGTACGAAAATATTTAAATCTAAGTTTTAAATAAATAATTTAATTGTCTCGTCTTACAAAGATAATTTCCTACAATTTTCATAAGATAGATATTAAGCGAAACTTTACCTAGAGGTATATAAAATTTTCACAGCTAACAAATAACCCGAAAACAAACGACAAAAGACAAAGTCCGTTATAAAAAAATCGTTGAAATAGGAATGTGGATCGCGTTCTTGATAACACACCTACCAGTTACATAACAGTAAAGTTAACTATACAACAGTTAATATTTAACCAAGATACGGACATATGGACAAACTGATGTACTAACCGTGGTTATTAATCTTATAGGAGAAACTTTAATAGCGAGCAATGGTACAGACAGAATACCGACTTTCTCTCAATAGAACATAATTCTATTAGAGGAATCTAATGGTAGATGTCATTAATAACTGATAGTCCTTTAGTAATCTGAAAGACTATTACCGATATCTCTTAACAAATGTTTTAAGTTATCTAAGACACGTTGTATGTACTGTCTGGAGGCAGGAGATCGATAAACATGTCGTGTCTAAAGGTAATTTGAATCTGGCTGTCTCCAAAGGCCTATTCTATTTCGTTTAAGTAGGTCCTACTCTAAAACACAACCTACCCAGTAATATGTGCTTGCTTAAAAAGTTTTTAATTCGTTCCAAAGAGTTCGCTACCAATTTCAAAAGCCTATAATTATAACTTAAGAGTTCGTGATTCAATCTTTGAAATGATAATTCTGACCAGCAATCCGAAATTTTGTAGCAATACGTATAACCAATTACTTATCTATCTACATCGATGACCCTTTCTGTACATAATAGAGATAAACCATATTTAATCTCCATGCTTGTTAATAAAATCCCCCAAAATAATTAAAGAACAGTTATCTTATTGATTCATTACGCACATAGTATTCATATTTAACTTAAATTTGTAATAAAATTTGATACAGACGTAAGTAAATACAAATTGCACGCTATGTACGTAGGTGTAACTGAAACAGACGTGCAATTTGCAAAGGGGGCACAGCGGTCCGTGGAGTATTATTCAATGCACGCCTCAGAAGCGTGGCCACAAAGGAGTTTTATTGAAATTGATACAAAATAATATAAATAGAGCATCAAGTGATATGATTTGTGATTGTGAATAAAACAGTGACCATATAAAGTGATGCTGCAATCTAAATAGCACGAGGTTTGGTGATGATACACTTTCAGCGAGTCAATAGCCTGAATGTCAACAGTTCTGTTTAGCTAACATGTTTCCTTGTGTCGATGCAAGTACTTATATCTTGTCAATAACATAAGTACAACGTAGAATGATCTAGATTTTTTGAAATGACGTCTTGGGCCAGAGTTGGTAGAAGTACCGACGCATTGGGAATTAACGCATTTTTTTAAGCTTGTCCCGTTGGTTAGTTGACACTGCATCGATCGTATAAAGAATAAATCGATAAAGAATTCCTATTCTTGTTTCCTGCCAAGAGTGTACCTACTATTTGGTAGATTATAATAAAGTTTAGTATATATATGATTATAAAATTTATATATGAATAGTAACTTAAGTGAAACTAACACGAAAACTACAAAATTCTTCACAATATGGTACCTCAACGTACACAATGAATGATTTTCCGCGATATTTATGGTATTTCCATGTCACTCATATAACTGAGAATATTAACTAAGATATGTCCGGGTCAAGGGGTTAGATTTTGCGTGTATTGTTCATATTTAATTCTACATAACTCTTCGGTCGTCAGTCTTTTGGGAGACCGTAGAAGGGAACTACGACTCAATTTGCAAAAATGTGACGAATCACCGGAAAACAGTGGTATTATGCAAGTTAAAAATCTATGAACTTTGTTCGTAGAAGTATGAATAATACAAACAAGATGAATAAGACATAACCGCGAATTGTAA